TCTTATGGTTATTACGGATACTGTCACTGACGACACGATACAAAACTATTCACAATTGTATTTAAATGATTTTTGTTGAGTATTTAATTAAATTCCCATCTTTCAGACGAATAAACAATTAAATTAATTTACATCACGACTCCAACTTATGCGAAAGTTATTTAATTTTGACATATTTGTTTAAATACTTAAGCAAATAAAATATTAAAACTGTTTTTATGAAAACATTTATCGACTAAATACACATTTTAATGAAGTTTTATTTTCATATTATTATTGCCATGAACTTAATACATAGTAACTCAAACTGTTCAATAATTAATAATACCATTTATGATATTATCAAAAACCAAATCAATGATTAACTAATTAATCATCGTATAATCTAAATTTTAGACAATAAATAAATCAAAAAATGTTTTTATATTAAGATTCTTAATATATCTTTGTAAGTTTGAAGTATATTAACTACAGTAAGTCATAATTAAAGATTATTATTACAGTTTTATCATAATTTTATTTTTATTCTTCAAATAAAAATATTATCTTTGTAAATATTAAGCTTAATTAATCATTAGTTCTTGATAACTTATTTTAAAAAGTAAAAATAAATAAAGTGGTCTAAAATCTAATATCTTTATTTTTAAATATTTTATAAATAAATATTTTGTGATATTGACATTAAAAGCTAATATATTTATAGAATATGTGAGGGTTGGTAATATAAAATTCTATATATAATTTAAATAAAATTTATAATAATGATTGAGTATAATATTTTCAAATGAAATCAGATTTATTGGAAATATGTTAACATATTACAATGACCATGAGCAAAACATGATTTGCTTTCAATATTAATCGATTCGTCAGGTCTTAACAGTGTTTCAAAAGCAAATAATATAAGTATTGATAGATTGTATCGATTTATACAAACTTACTGTCAAACTGTGGAGTCGGCCTCAGCTCTACTGATAGTATGGATGATATTGTTTCTCTCAGTTTCCTCGCTCTCTGTCTGTCGACCACAACAACACGCAATGCAACACTTTTTGATGTATTTAATCAAATATAAGTCCTTTTTCCTGCAGTAGACGATCGCCGATATGACAAACAAGATGCCGAATAGAGTGCCCCAAATGGATAGCTGCTCTCCACTGTTCAACAAATGATGAAAAAATTATCAAATTATCAATTATTAAATGCAAGAAATATCAACATTTAGAAAGCGATTAAAGGTTAGGAATCGTACACTATTTGAATGCCTGGTTTACTCTTACAACAGGAAGGCCTCGCGAATTCTATACAACAGTTTTCGGTGTCTTTGCACTGGTATATATTGCTCGGGTCGTCGTATCCCACCTTCTGGTCTATGAGACAATCAAATTTCTCGCATTTAGCGTGAAATACGTTTAAAAACTCAATCAGTATAATAGAGAAATAAAATAAACTCATATTTGAAAATATAAAGGATTAGTTTGTGGACCATATTATGAGTGAAGCGAATGAAATGAAATCAGTTATAAATACTAATAACAATAAAAATAAACTTTCT